TCAGGAGCTGGATGGATCCAGGATTTGAGGGAATTCAGGAGCTGGATAAATCCAGGATTTGAGGGAAGCACTAGATGGATCCAGGATTTGAGGGAATTCAGGGGCTGGATGGATCCAGGATTTAAGGGAAGGAGGGCCTGGGGTCTCTGCCAGCTGGGGGGACTGTGGGAGTGAACCCCTCGGTTCCTGTTGGGAATCTCCCACCAGGGAGCTCAAATCCATCCCAAAAAGGGGCCGTTTGCTCCCCAAATCCCAGGGAAAGGCCGAGGGAATGGCCCTCACTCACGGACAGCTTGATGATCTTGTCGAACATGACGTCGGGGGGGACGTGGAAGTCGAAGACAAAGTACTGGAAGGGAAGCAGGAGCCGTCAGGGAGGAGCCGGGGGGGGGGGATCCCTGGGGTCGGAAAACCCCTTGGAGAAGCCGTGACTGCCCCAGAGGAGCCCCTGCAGCCCCCGGGACGCGCCCCTGGGACCCCAGCACAGACCTCTGGAGCCCAGGGGGAGCTGAAGGAAGCACTGAACCCTCGGAAAAGCCATGGATGATCCATCCCTGGTGACCCCGGGGGCACCTCCCGCCGACCAACCCCGGAGGGCCGAGGGCTCCAATTCCCGCCCGGATTCCACCCCGTGGCGGGGGTTAAACCCCAAAGCAGCGCCAGGGGGACGGGCAGTGCCCCTTCCCCGAGGGCAGAGCAGCCCCGGGAGTGCCCCCCCAAGCCCGGGCTCACCTCGTTGTAGTAGGGGCAATTGGTGGACTCCTTCATGGACGTGAACTTCTTCTCCTCGCCCACCTCCACGCACACCACGGGGTCCATGTTGAGCCCCACGAGCTGCCGGGCCTCGATGATGGTCACGCTGACCTGGGCACAGTGGGAGGATTTGGGGGGCACCTTCGCATCCAGGGCCGGAATTCCTCTCCCTACCCCCTCCTTTGGAGGCGTTTTCCCGGCAGGGGCGGCGGATCCGGGGCCTCCCGGGCACATCCCAGCGGGGTGTGGGATGCAGGAGATCCCGGGAATTCCCCCTTGCTTCGGCCCCAGAGGGTGGGGGCTTCGAGCCGGGTGGGAACCGTGTGGATTTATCCCGGATCAGAGCTCGGCCGGTGGGACCAAACAACGGGATCACAGAATCCCTGGAGAGGGCGGGTTGGGCTGGAAGGGACCCTGAGGGTCACCCAGTTCCCTGCCAGGGGCTGGGACACCTTCCACCATCCTGGGCTGCTCCAAGAAGAACCTGGGAGAGCTTAATTTGGGTTTAATTGGGCTCCACACCACAGAGACCACACCCAGCTCATCAACCTCATCTGGGGTTTCTCGCTCCACCATCTGGATTCCAGCTCCTGGGAAGTCCCGCCTGGAGAGTGCGGGAGCCCAGCACGGAGCTGTTCCCTGGGAAAGGGGTCCCCCCACACCCTGGTGGTGACCCCCTCGTTGTCACCCACCTGGTAGTCCATGGGCCTGCCGGCGCTGGGCTCCATCTTGATGTCGGGTTTGGACCTTTGGAAAGGGCGGGAGAAACCCTCGGTCAAACCCCCGGCGGGATTCAGGGAGCCATGGAATGGTTCGGGTGGGAATGACCCTGTGGTTCCACCTCCCGCCAGCCCAGGCTGCTCCAGCCGGGCCTTGGGCGCTCCCAGGGATCCGGGGGCAGCCACAGCTTCTCTGGGAATTCCAGCCCAGCCCCTCCCCACCCTCCCAGGGAAGAATTCCATCCCTCTGTCCCTCTGGCAGTGGGAAGCCATTCCCGGTGCCCTCGCCCCGGGCTGTGACGCAGAAATCCCAGGGACACCCCGGGAGCTCCTGCTCTGCTGGAATCCAAGGGAAAAACACCCAGGGGGGCTCTGGAATCCCCCGGAACAGGGGTGATCTCTACAGCAGGTACCCCCAAAACAACCCACACCCTGGTGGCTCTGGGACCCCCTGGAATGGGGGTGATCTCTGCAGCAGGGCCCCCCAAAACAACCCACACCCCGCTGGCTCCACAGGGAAACGATGGCGGGGATGATGCCAGGGATGATGTCAGGGATGATGTCAGGGATGATGTCAGGGACGATGTCAGGGACCATGCCAAGGATGATGTCGGGGATGATGTCAGGGATGATGTCAGGGACGATGTCGGGGACGATGTCGGGGATGATGTCGGGGATGACGTCAGAGATGACGTCAGGGACGATGTCAGGGACGATGTCAGAGATGATGTCAGGGACCATGCCAAGGATGATGTCGGGGATGATGTCGGGGATGATGTCGGGGACGATGCCAGGGACGATGTCGGGGACGATGTCGGGGATGATGTCGGGGACGATGTCGGGGACGATGTCGGGGATGATGTCGGGGATGATGTCGGGGATGACGTCAGAGATGACGTCAGGGATGACGTCAGGGATGATGTCAGGGATGATGTCAGCGATTATGTCAGAGATGATGTCGGGGACGATGTCAGGGACGATGTCAGGGATGATGTCAGAGATGATGTCAGGGATGATGTCAGAGATGATGTCAGAGATGATGTCAGAGATGATGTCAGAGATGATGTCAGGGATGATGTCAGAGATGATGTCAGAGATGATGTCAGAGATGATGTCAGAGATGATGTCAGGGATGATGTCAGAGATGATGTCAGAGATGATATCAGGGACAATGACAGGGATGATGTCAGGGACAAGGACAGGAACAATGTCAGGGACGAGGACAATGTCAGGGACGAGGACAATGTCAGGGACCAGGACAATGTCAGGGACGAGGACAGGGATGATGTCAGGGACAATGTCAGGGACGAGGACAGGAACAAGGACAGGGATGATGTCAGGGATGATGTCAGAGATGATGTCAGGGACCATGTCAGGGACAACGTCAGGGATGATGCCAAGGGACCAAGTTGGGGACGACGTCAGGGACAAGGACAGGGACGAGGACAGGGACGAGGACAGGGACAAGGACAGGGACGAGGACAGGGACGAGGACAGGGACGAGGACAGGGACAAGGACAGGGACAAGGACAGGGACAAGGACAGGGGCGATGCCAGTGCCACACGGCTGGGGGGGAGTCTGTGCCCTCACCTCTTGTTGGACACATTGGTGGTGACCGCGGTGACAGAGGCCAGCGACACCGTGTCCGGCTCCAGCCCCGTCCCGCCCCTCAGCGCCCTCCTGTCCAGGTCCTCCGGCTCCAGCACGGCCGGTTCGTCTGCGGGGGGGGGGGACACAAAGGGACAAAGGGACTGTGGGGGTGCCACACAAAGGGACAAAGGGACTGCGGGGGTGCCACACAAAGGGACAAAGGGACGGCCCCGCGGTTCGTTTTCCACCCCGGTGAATAATTCAGGAGGCGGACAAAGGGGAATCCAAGCCGGAGGGAGGGGACTGGCGGCCACCGGGGCAGGGCAGGGCCAGCCCGCGCCCAGAGAGGGCGATCGAGGAGCCCGGGGCTCGAGTGACGCCGTAATTCCACCCGGGAACGACTCCAGGGGAGGCAAAACAAAGGGAAAAACGATGAGCGCCCCAAACTTCGGGGGTGAAAGAGCCCTCGGGCAAGGGCGGGGGCTCTGTCACAAAGAT